TTTCCTTTCTTCTCCCACAATCCCTAACATTTGATTTCACCAGCACACAGCATCCTCTACATCCACCAGACCCAAGCATTGAATCCCAGTTTCCTCCCCAAAACCCATCCCTTCACATTTGATTCCCTGGAACGCACCACTGTGACATTCCCCTCTGGTGTTATCTGGACCGGTGATCTGCTAAGTCACTCCAATCCTTGACTCTGGGAGCCAGCCTTATCCTGCTCTGCTGTGAGAACCCCCACTCCTGGGCTGTTCATGCACAGCCTCTGGTATGTAAGCTGCTCCTTGGATTGTGCAACTGAATGACACTATCTCCGGTATATATATATATATAGCCAGTATCTCCGGTCCCAGACACAACCCTAGGAACCTCCATCTTGCAGTGTCCAGTTATGCCTGCTGGACGCTGCAAGCTTATATGAGTTCGTCAATTTAACAAAGAAATTGATATATACCAGGCTTGTTATCCCCAGGGGAGTCTCTGACACGCTTCAAACCAAACGCACTGCTTCAGGTAGAATAAACAAAACAGATTTATTAACTACAAAGATAAATTTTAAGTGATTATAAATCAAAACATGTCAGATTTGGTCAAGAGAATGTTTAGGCTCCCAGCCCCTTTCTCTCTTCCCAGGGGCAAAATGCAATCATCCCTTCCCACCAGTTTTAACCCCCCCTTTCTCTGGCCTGCCCTCAATAGACGTCTGGGTCGGTTCAAAGGCATCAGCTAAAAAAGCCATCTCATGCACAGTCTTTACATCTTTGTCCCACAGACACTGCTTTACATCAGCCTTACGTATGCCTTGGAAATGCTCTTGAGCAACAAGATCCAACATTCCCTCAAAATTTGCCACCTCTTTACCCCTCACCCATTTTCCCAACAAATCTTTCATTTTGTTTACGTATTCCCCATTACTCATCCCAATATCCCTTTTAAGATTCCTAAATTTAATTCTATATGTTTTGGGGATAATCTGAAAACTTCGCAAAACAGTATCTTTAAATTTACAATAGTCTAAAGCATCTTCAATAGCCAGTCCATTGAATATATTTTGAGCTTTACCAGTTAATTTCACAATCAGGGTAGGAACTCTCTTATCAGGGATTTCCTGTATTACACACAGCCTTTCAAAGGTAGTCACATATTCAGCAATATCCTCCTCCTCACTGTATGCAGGACATAAGTGTTCCCATTTGTGGATTTTTGAAGTGATGGGAGTCATTGGGGTCAGGGGGTTCTCGTTCTGCTCCTCTAGCAGGTCCAGTTGGTGTTTTCGCTCTTTTTCTTCCTGCTCTCTCTCTCTTTTTCTTCCATGGCCCTTCTGTGTGCAGCCTCCTCTCTGGCTGTCTCTGCCTCCATAGTTTCCCTGGCCGCAGCTGCTTCTCTGAGCTTCATTTCTGCCTGCCACATTTAAAGCTCACTGTCCTTTTCCTTCTCTGTCGCTTCCAGTCTGGCCAGCTCTAGTTTTGTAGCTGCCTCACTGGTAGTCATTTTTCTGCTTTCTTGTGCTTATTTCCCTCACCCTAAATAAACAAACAGAAAATAATAAAACTGTGACCTCCTCTTGACTGTTCTTAGCCACTGCATTTACAACTCACTTAAAATCACAAATATCAGTGCATAAAGTGTGAATTCCACTTGGCGTAACAAGCCGCACATACACCCTGCTCGCTGTGCCACTGTGACGTTCCCCTGCTGTTATCTGAACCGGTTATCTGCTGGGTCATGCTAATCCTCGACTGTGGGAGACAGCTTTACCCTGATCTGCTGTGAAAACCCCCTCTCCTGGGCTGTTTACGCACAGCCTCCAGCGTGTAAGCTGCTTGGATCTTGCAACCGAATGACACTAGCCAATATCTCCGGTCCCAGACACAATTCTAGGAACCTACGTCTTGCAGTGTCCAGTTATGCCTGCTGGACGCTGCAAGCTTATATGAGTTCATCAATTTAACAAAGAAATTGATATATACCAGGCTTGTTATCCCAAGGGGAGTCTCTGACACGCTTCAAACCAAACGCACTGCTTCAGGTAGAATAAACAAAACAGATTTATTAACTACAAAGATAAATTTTAAGTGATTATAAATCAAAGCATAACAAGTCAGATTTGGTCAAATGAAATAAAAGCAAAACTCATTCTAAGAATATCTTAATACTTTCAGTGCCCTTACAAACTTAGATGCGTCTCACCAGAGGCTGGCTGGTTGCCCTTCAGCCAGGCTCTCCCCTTCGATCAGCGCTTCAGTCGCTTGGTGGTGATGTCTGTAGATGGAGGTGGAAGAGAGGAAGAGCCTGGCAAACGTCTCTCCCTTTTATGATATTCTTTCTTCCCTCATGGTTTTGCCCCACCCTACCCCTTCAGGGTCAGGTGAGCATTACCTCATTGTAGTCCCTGACTGACTGCTGCCTAGGCCAGTGTCCTTTGTTCCTGTGAGACTGGGCTGGGTTTGTCCCATACATGCCCTGATGAGGTGTGAACTGCCCCTCTGTTCCTGGAGAGTTTTGCCTGGGCTTGTTTTAAGCCATGAGGACACATATTCAGCCTCATAACTATATACATGAAATTACAACCTATAACATTACTATAACAACAATGCTCAGTGCATCATGAGCCTTCCGAAGACACCCGACATGACAAACTTTGCATTGGATACCACACAATCATATTATAACGATAAACATGGGGGCGCTGGGTGTCCCCCCGAGGTACAGAAAGTCACAACCACCTCAGGTGATTTAGGGAAGGGAAGACTTGTCAGTCCCAGGACACTTCCCTGCAGGGACCAACTCCAGTTAAGTGGGGGAGCCCAGCCCAATGGCTGCTGGAAGATGGGGACAGGTGTCCAGAGCGACTGTGGGGCCTGGCCCAAGTATCCCTCTCCTAGTCTCCATGGAAGGGGCATCACATCTGAGAATGGGAGGGAGAGGGTGGGAATTCATCCAGGCAGAGGAAACTTCTAGAGAAGTTTCTCTCTTTCTTCTTCCAGCAGGTTAGCAGGCGGCAGGAAGGCACATCAGTTCAGCAGCCAGGGCTGCAGCACGGAGTAAGGGCTTGTGGCAGTAGGCCCAATAATCTTTATAAAGATAGTTATGATATGAATATGGCATAACTAAAATATGTTTTATGCAAGATGGATTATGTAAGGTATCATTAGAAATGTTATGATGTACTGGCTAGGATTATCCGATTTGTATGTATGTATCGTTTCTGTATGTGAAGTTAGGAATATTGACTATGTATCAATTACAGAAGTGTTTGCCCCTGGGAAATGCCTATCAAACAAAATGCAACCAGCCTGGCTGACTAATCAATGGGCCATTAGGGGGAACAACAGAACTTTGAAAGTGCTAATCTCTTACCTTCCTGAGAAGTTTCCTGGGATAACTTTGGTTCAAGTCTGCTTTAACACTGCAGGGTCATGTGGTCATGTCACCTGGTACTAAACCCCATCTTGGACTGCTTGTATTTTTCCACAAAAAGGGAGTGGGGATAAGACTGGGAAACAAAGCTTTCCCACCTTATTTAAATCCTATTTATGGCTGGGGAGTGAAGTAATCAAAGTCAGTCCATCCCTGCTTCTCAGGAGGAGATCCCCACCCGAGATGACTGCTGTGAACACCTGAAACTAGGCTCAAGTGAAAGGATTGGGCCCAGGCTGGAAAGGGGTCTGGCCTGCAAATAAGATGCTTGAAGCAACATTAGGTTGAGGAAATTATTATCTGTAGCCAGTTTCTGTAGTGTATTAAGCTTAGTTTGCGTGTTTGTTTTATTTGCTAAGTAATCTGCTTTGATCTGTTTGCTATCCCTGATTATCACTTAAAATCTATCTTTACAGTTAATAAACTCATTTTGTTTACCTTAAACCCAGTTTGTGGAATCCATAACTTGGGGGGGCAAGAATCTGTGCATATCTTCCTCCACATTGAGGGAGGGGGCAACCAACGAGCTTACATTGCACAGTTCGCTGTGCAGCACAAGGCAATTCACTCCTTGGGTTTGTACTCCTACGATAGTGTGCACACGAGTGCTGGGTACTTCCCGAGCTGGGTCTTCCTGTGCAGGCCTAATCTCAGTGTCTGTGTCTTTCTGCAGCAGGATGTGGCCCTACCTGTGTGTTTGCCAGAGTAGGCTGGAGAGCCTGGCTTGGCAAGACAGGGTTAGGGAGCCCTGGCTGGTGGAACGGGCCGGTTCAGTGGAACCCCAGTACGTCATGTGGTATCCCTGGATCGGGTGGGAGGACGGCGCACAACCTGTCACGGGGTTGATTGGGACTTCTCCTCCTTTGCCTACGGTTAGCTTAGACCAGGCAAAGCCAGAGGGTCACTGATCAGCTAAGGGTCAGCAGCTGCTGGAACTGCCCGCAGAGATGGGCAGCTAGATACCTGTGTGTGGGAATAAGGAAATGGAGTTTTTACTATGACCAGCCCTCATCCGGGCACTTAGGGAATTTCTCTCCTGTGTGGAGGAGCCTCTGATGTCCAATGTGGTGTTAGCGCCAACTGAAGCATTTTCCATGCTAAAAACATCTTCTCTGTGTGGATTTGCTGATGCTTGATGCCATGTGAGCACCAAATAAAGCTTCCTCCATATTCAAGCTCTTTCTTCTGTGAATTATGTGATGAGAAATAATGTGTGAGCTCAGAAGGAATCTTTTCCTGCAGTTATTGAAGCTTTTCCCACAATCCAAATATTTATGGGTTCTCTCTCATGTGTGCATTATCTGATGTGAAGCAAAGTTTGATCTTCAAATAAAACTTTTCCCACAGTTGAGGCATTTATAGATTCTGTCCCATGGGAATTCTCCAATTTTTATGAAGGTATGAGCTGGGACTGAAACTTTTCCAATTATCCAAGCATTTATGGGGTTTCTCTCCTGTGTGGATTGTCTGATGTCTAATAAGGTGTGAGCACTGACTGAAACTTTCCTCACAGTGGGGGCATTTATACGTTTTCTCTCCCGTGTGGGTTCTCTGATATACAATAAGGGCTCATGGTCTACTGAATTTTTTCCCCACAGTCCAAGCATTTACAGGGTTTCTCTCCCATGTGCAGTCTCCGATGGGCAGTAAGATTTGAGCTCTGACTGAAGCTTTTATCACAGTCCAAGCATTTATAAGGTTTTTCTCCCGTGTGGGTTCTCTGATGTACAATAAGGGCTGATGGTGCACTGCAACTTTTCCCACACTCAAGGCATTTATATGGTCTCTC